TCTCACTCACGGCTGAAGGGTTTGAGCCCCGCATCAGGCTCACACAACACAGGTGAATCTCAAAAGTATCATTAAGTGGAAGAAATCAGACACAAAAATATACCTCATATTTGATTGCATTGATATGAAATTCCAGAAAAGGCAAAAAACCATACTGACAGAAAATAGATCAGCCTCCCACCCTGGGAGACTGCAAGAGGGCACAAAGGCACTTTTAGAGAAATGAACACATTCTATATTTTGACTGTAATGGTCAAAATATAGACTAGGCATTTGTTAAAATTCAACAAACTGTATATTTCAAACTGGTGAATTTTATTATATGTAAGGTATACCTCAATCAAGTTAATTTTTTAAATTAAAGGTGTTCTCTTTCATTGCTAGCAAAAGTCAACCTGAAATAATTGGCAAAGAACTTTTATAGCTGGTGAGTCACCTCAATAGAGATGGGAACAAGAGGAGAATTATAGTAAAACTGTAACACGTTGATTTAGTTGAAGCTCTAATGAACATCAGGAATTTTCCTTTCTGACTCACTGTGCTTGGTAACTTCCACTGCCCCTGCCCATTAATAGTAATGAACCATGGGTTTACAAAAGGAAATGTAAGTAAAGTAAATGGCTCCCTTTTGGACAAATCGCCACCTTCCAGTAATTCACCAAAATGACCAACACAAAGGGAAAGAGGAGAGGCACCCGCTATATGTTCTCCAGACCTTTTCAGAAAACACGAAGTGGTTCCTTTGGCCACATACATGCCTATCTACAGGAAAAGTGATATTGTAGACATCAGGGGAATGGCACTATTCAAAAAGGAACGCCCCAGAAATGTTACCATGGCAAAACTGCAAGAGGCTACAGTGTTACCCAGCATGCTGTTGGCATTGTTGTAAACAGACAAGTTAAAGGCAAGATTCTTGCCAAGAGAATTAATGTACATATTGAGCATAGTAGCACTCAAAGAGCCAAGAGAGCTTCCCGAAGTGTGTGAAGGAAAATGATCAGAAAAAGAAGGAAGCCCAAGAGAAAAGTACTTGGGTTCAACTGAAGTAACAGCCTGCACTACCCAGAGAAGCACAATTTGTGAGAACCAATGGAAAGGAGCCTGAGCTGCTGGGACCCATTCCCTATGAATTCATAGCATGATAATTAAAAAAAAAAAGAGAGAGACCTGAAGACTATAGATAGATAGATGATAGGTAGATAGATAATAAAGTGGCTATTTGGTTTTCGTGATTCAAAATCTTTTTAAAAATGTATCTTTTTTATATTTTTTGCAGTGAGAAATACACCTGTTTAAAGCACAAGATGATCATGTTTACTGGTCACTGTTTTCTCTCTGTGTAAGTGACATCACATCCAGAACTGACATGGTGAGAGAGGAATCAGAAAGGGGGGTTGATTAGTTGAGCAAAATTTTAATAAAATAAATCAGAAAATAAGGCTATATGGTGAAAAATATGCCCCCCCAACACTTCAACTCACTAATACTATTATAAAGTAACCAGCAGTAAGAGTTTAGTGTGTAAACTTTCCAGAAATTTTCCTGGACATATTCAAGCATATATATGTAACAAGTTAAACCATATGATTGCCATTCACATAGGTTAGAAATTGCTAAATATCAACAATTTCATATGGTTCAACCAATATATCCTCCTGTTAATGCACGTGCTCTCATATTCTATATACTCTTTTAAAATTTTCTCTCTTAATAAAGTATCATGGCTATTTTTCCATATCAATACATACAGCTGTACATCACTTTCTAAATACCTGGGTAGTTTGCCATTGCATGGATGTACCATACTTTATTTTACCAGTTCCTTTGTAATGGATATTTACCTTGGTTCCTGTCTTTTCCTGTCTTTTCCAATTAAGATAGTTGGATAATCACATGGCTATGTCTTCAAACATGAAAACTCCATGCTTCCATCTCAAGTCTAGGGATATGCCCACTCAACGAACACTTGCGTTTTGTGGATTGGGTTTCTGTGTCTCTGTTGTTGAAATTCTTATATACCCACAGAACAACAATGAAGAGTATATAATATTTAACTACAGTATTAAATATGGATACAGATCCAAGTCAGTCCAAGTGTATTTAATGTTAAAGATGCCTTTTGAGTTAAAATCGTTGAATGCTATTCAAGTTGAAAATCCCTGTACCAGGGATAGTGAAAATAGGAATAGTGAAATAGGAATAGTTTCAATAGTGAAAATCCCTACACCATCACTATTTGGAGCTTTGTGTTTTATCATTGCTCAAGTTATTCCTTTATTCAAAAACTTTGCAGAATAAAATAAAACTTCCTCCGTTAGCATTCGAGGCCCTTTGCCTCCAGCTACAATGTACCTTTCCAGCCTTGCTTCCCCGCTCCCCCAGCACATTTGGTCTATGCTGCCACACCTGATTACCTTTCCTTTTACTCAGACTGTTCCCTCTGTTTGCAGTATCTTTCCATTTCAGCTCCTCTGTGGGAGTTTGTCACCTTCCCAATCCACCTGTAATGACACTTCTCAATTATCCCTCATCCTTCAAAGGCAGTGTGATATTGTAAGGAAAGTATAGGCTTTCAAGTTTGTCACACCTGTATTTGAAGCCCCAGCTTCTCCACTTTCTAGCTATGGGACTTGGGGCAAATTACCTAACTTATCTTAGCCTCAGTTTTTCTCATGTGAAAAATGGAATGCAGTTGCTTAGTTCTGTCTAGAACATTTGGGAGGGTTATATAGGTCCATAGCTAGAAGGGAAATGTGTTTATTAGCAAATCACACTGTACAGAGGATGTATAAAGCATTTCTTTATTCTTCTGATTGAGTCACTGTAAGTTACATCCTGAGAAGGCCAGGACCAACCCTTTCTTTATGGAGTCCACTCAGGTGAGCTCCCAATTGCTCTGGCCTTCTTCATTATTTCTACGGGTCATTTTCCTGTTTCTCTATCCTTCCATGGCATCCATGTACCATCTGGAATGTGCTGTATACATTACCAGAGGGGGAACCATCCACAGGAAACAAAAAAAATTTCTGTTTGATTATATCATTATCATATTTTAAAAATCTCTGTACTCTGTATAACCAGCCAAAGGAAGTCAAAGGTAAGAAGGAGCTAAAGAGAAAAACTGTATTCTTTCACAGATATCATAATGCTTATGTTGGAGCACCGGAAATAATATCTACGAAGTTTAAAGTAGCCATGAAAAAAAAAACTTTAATATTCACAGATTCCTGTCTTCCTCTTGTGCATCCTGGGAAGCCTGTCTTTGGTGGAAGTCCCCAGCTTAAATCAGGGGTAATGGAAGAGGAGGAGGAGGAGGAGGAGGAGGAGGAGGAGGAGGAGGAGGGGGAGAAATGAGACTAGAGGACCAATTTACAGTAAAAAGCAAAATGAATTACTCAGGAGAGTGAACATCTAGTGGGGAGTAGAACCACCAATGGCTGCATTTAAGAGAGTTTGGGAAAGTTTTGAGAGAAAATGGGAGTTGGCAGCATCTGTTGTGCAATGCAGTATGAGAAAGGGGAGAGAGAGATGGAAATTGGGAAAGAGGGGTTTTTTTTGTTTTTGTTTTTGTTTTTGTTTTGTAATGTTTATTTTCGAGAGCTTGCGGATGGGGAAGGGGCAGAGAGAGAGGGGGAAGAAGATCCAAAGTGGGCTTTGTGCTGACAACAAAGAGCCCCATGCGGGGTTCGAACTCACAAGCGGTGAGATCATGACCTGAGCCTAAATTGGACGCTCATCCGACTGGGCCACCGAGGCGCCCTAGGAAAGATAATTTTAAGGAGTGTTCATGTATATAATAATATAAGCCTATTTTGCTTTTTTTCAAGAGTCCAAAAAAGATTAAAGTTGATTTTCGATTACTTTCTAATGACATTGTGCTGAGATGGGCCCAGAGTGGCCCAGCTCTCACCATGTCGATAAATACTTGGCTCCTTCTCTGGAACCCAGATCACCTCCCTTGAAGTTTTAGTACTGTACTTAAGTTATTATGACACATCGTGCAATAAAGTTGGCTCTGTGTATGTATATCCCCTAGCAGGTTGTAGACAGGCCATTTGAAAGCAGGTTTGGGGTGTGTGTGTGTGTGTGTGTGTGTGTTTCAACATTTATTTATTTTTGGGACAGAGAGAGACAGAGCATGAACGGGGGAGGGGCAGAGAGAGAGGGAGACACAGAATCAGAAACAGGCTCCAGGCTCTGAGCCATCAGCCCAGAGCCCGACGCGGGGCTCGAACTCAAGGACCGCGAGATCGTGACCTGGCTGAAGTCGGACGCTTAACCGACTGCGCCACCCAGGCGCCCCAAGGTTTGGTGTGTTTTAATCATCTTCGTGTCCACCATATCCAGCTTCCCATCACCTAGTCTATGAATTGCCCACCGGCCGGACTCTGTGAGGGAACATGTCTGTCCTGGTCTTCTCTTCACCGCCAGCACTTGCACTATGTTAAGCCCACAGTAAGCGTTGGGATAATCTTTGTATCCCCTAGAGTAAGGATTTCAGCGCATAAGGAATGGAAGAGAGTAAAAACGTCTAAGCCGAGTTGGTGAGAACGCAGTATAGAAGAGCACGGGCGGCCGGCCCGGGGCTGGGTGGTTAGGAACAGGAATCCGCCTGGTAACGAACAGGAATCCGCCTGGTAACGAACAGGAATCCGCCTGGTAACGAACAGGAATCCGCCAGGAGAAGCCTGGGAGAAGCGGGTGATCGCCGGCGCCCTCCTCTCCTCCAAAACGGCAGGTGGCGCTGTGGTCGGGTGCGGCCGCTAGGTTCGCGAGGCGCCTCTCTCTGGGCAGGGTGGGGAGTAGGCAGAAGGACCTGCGGCGGGCCCATCTCGGCCGCCTCTCTGGCTTGATCTTCCTCGGCGTCTGACTGTGCGCTTAGTCCCGCACCATGGGGAAGCGGGACAATCGAGTGGTGAGTACTGAGTGGGGAAAACAGTGGGGCGACGCGGGGCCGGCGGCAGGGGAGCAGAAACCCTTGCTCTCCCCGACGGGGCCTGAGGGTCAGCGGCGTCGCTCGGACCTCGAGCCGGGAGATCCAACTCCCCCCATCCCCTTCGGCCCCAGACGCGCGTGCGCCGAGCACGCAGTTGGCGCTTTCGGGCCCCCCACTCTCTGTCCCCTCTTTCCTCTTCCCGTGTCCCCCTCTTTTTTTCAACCCCGCCGCACCTTCTGGCAGTGCTCCCTAGCTCCCTTTCCTCCGGTACTCTCACTAGCAGTGCCCAGTTTTTACAGCTACAAGGGCTGGAGGAGTTCTGTCTCCTGTACGTTTGTCGTAAGTCTGAGGCCCACGGAGGCCCCGGGACTGGCCCCCTACCCGGTATAGAAGATCTGGCTCCGCGCCCCTGTCGTGCGCACGCTGGTGGGATGGAGGGGCGGAGGCCTCAGGCGCAGCTCCTTTTTCTGGGCTTGCTGCGCGCCTAGTTTTAGCGGCAGGTAGACTCCCGTTTGAGGACCAGGATCGAAACATTTGGCTTCGTGTCCTCAGCGCCTAGCACTGCCTGGCACTTAGTAGGACCTGTGTAGGAATGAAGGGTGAAAAACAATTGCCTTTGAAGTCAGGTATAGATGGCAATGTCAGTTTTGGGCCCTCAGGGGTCGGGTGACTAGGATAAGTTGCTTTTCTTCTCTGAGCCTCTGTAAAGGGGCATTAGTGTTATCCACAGCTTTGCTGAGCCTCTGTAAAGGGGCATTAGTGTTATCCACAGCTTTGCAGAATAGTTGAAACCGCAAAAGGCAAATGGCCAGAGAACGTTTGGCATGGAAGTTGTTCTAGTAAATGAGATAAAAGAGACACAGGAATGTAAGAAATAACATGATGCAGTTTCGAAGTTCTTGAAGGCATTCGAAAGAGAAGGTACTTTGGACAGGAGGAGATGGGAAGAAGGCATTCTAGATGGCTACTAGGTTGGTTTGGAAAGTCTGGATTATAAATCAGACTGGATGGGCCGTAAACATTAGGGATTAACAATAAACTTAGGTTGCAGCCTTCAAGTTCCTGGATTTGTGATCGACTTTTAACCACTGAGCAGCAAAATGAAAAAAAATAAATGCAGTTAAAGTTAGTGTACTAAATTGGGGTGTCTGGGTGGCTCTGTCACTTAAGTGTCCAACTTTGGTTCAGGTCATGATCTGTGGTTGGTGGGTTCCAGCCCCATATCAGGCTCTGTGCTGACAGCTCAGTACCTGGAGCCTGCTTTGGATTCTGTGCCTCTCTCTCTCTGTCTGTACTCCTCCTCGCTCATGCTCTGTCCCTGTATCTCAAAAAAATAAATAAACGTTAAAAAAGAGTTAATGTACCAAATTTAATGAACTTTTATATTCAATGATTATTGCCTTTTTGGGTTGGGAGGGCTACTAAAAGAGCTTTACTTTTATGATATGGTGACATTTCTTCAAAGCATTCGTTTTAATTTTATATACTACTCATAATCAAAGATGTTTAGGAACCACAGTGGTGAACTTTGATTACAATGTTAAGGAATGTTCTTTTCTCCTGCTTTCCCGGCTGTGGGTCAGACCTTGTGGTATCCAGTTTCTCATAGGGTTGAAATGGTGTTCTGATGGAGCATCCTTATTAGGTTTGAGGTGTTCAGAGTGTTTTGACTCTTTAAACTGTGGACTTGAAAATTTAGAAATCACCAGACCTTGGATATGGTTTCATATAGAGGCCTAAGATGTTTTGTCTTTGTTTTATTTAGGAGAAGTGTTGCTTTACACATACCTTTAAAGCATTTGAAACTTTTCAGATTAGCTTCATTTTACTAGAACATTTTGATAATAACTCTGGGCTCTACTTATTAGTTGGTATGCTTTTGTGGCATAGAGTGTTCTGGTAACATTTTATTTGCAGTTAAAAAGTGGAAAAGAGGGATGCCTGGGTGGCTTAGTCATTTGAGTGTCTGACTTCGGCTCAGGTCATGATCTCGAGGTTCATGCGTTTGAGCCCCGTCGGGCTTTGTGCTGACAGCTCAGAGCCTGGACCCAGCTGTTTCAGATTCTTTGTTTCCCTCTCTCTCTGCCCCTCTCCTGCGCTCGCTCTCTCTCTCTCTCTCTCTCTCTCTCTCTCACAAATAACATTAAAAAAAATTTTAAAGGTGGGAATGAAAACATGAAATTAAGATTTAGAAGACAGATTGTCTAATTTTGTGTTCTCGTTGCATGGAGGAGGAGATGGAACTTTTTTTCTTCCAAATTTTTATTTAAATTCTGGTCAGTTAACATATAGTATCATACTGGTTTCAGGAGTAGAATTTAGTGATTCAGCACTTAAGTATAATACCTAGTGCTCATCATAACAAGTGCCCTGCTTAATACCCATCACAGGTTTAGCCCATCCCCCACCTCCCTCCATCAACCCTCGGTTTTATTATCTTTCATTAAGAGTTTCTTATGGTTGGGGCGCCTGGGTGGCGCAGTCAGTTAAGCGTCCGACTTCAGCCAGGTCACAATCTCGCGGTCCGTGAGTTCGAGCCCCGCGTCAGGCTCTGGGCTGATGGCTCAGAGCCTGGAGCCTGTTTCCGATTCTGTGTCTCCCTCTCTCTCTGCCCCTCCCCCGTTCATGCTCTGTCTCTCTCTATCCCAAAAATAAATAAACATTGAAAAAAAAAATTAAAAAAAAAAGTTTCTTATGGTTTGTTTCCCTCTCTCTCTCTTTTTTTTAATGTTTATTTTTGAGAGAGAAGGAGAGGGAGAGAGAGTGTATGTGATTGGGGGAGGGGCTAAGAGAGAGGGAAACAGAATCCGAAGCAGCCTCCAGGCTCCCAGCTGTCAGCACAGAGCCAGATGTGGGGCTCAAACTCATGAGCATGAGATCATGACCTGAGCCAAAGTCGGATGCTTAACCGACTGAACCATCCAGGCTCCCATTTCCTTCTCTTTTTAACCCCCTTCCCATATGTTCATCTGTTTTGTTTTTTAAGTTCCACATAAGAGTGAAATCATATGGTATTTGTCTTTCTTTGATTGACTTATTTCGCTTAGCATAATAGAGTCTATCACCATCCATGTTGTTGCAAATGGCAAGATTTCTTTCTTTTTGATGGCTGAGTAATATTCGTGTGTGTGTGTGTGTGAGAGAGAGAGAGAGAGAGAGAGAGAGAGAGAGAGACATCTTCTTTATCCATTGGCTATTGTTGATAATGCTGCTAGAAACGTCAAGGAGAACATACCCCTTCGAATCTGTATTTTTGTATCCTTTGGGTAAATAGCTAGTAGTGCAATTGCTGGGTCCATAGGGTAGTTCTATTTTTAACTTTTTGAGGGACCTCCATACTGTTTTCCAGAGTGGCTGCACCAGTTTGCATTCCCAGCAACAGTGTTAGAGGGTTCCCCTTTTTCTGCATCCTCAACATCTGTTGTTTCCTGTGTTAATTTTAGCCCTTATAACAGGTGTGAGGTGGTATCTCATTGTGGTTTTGATGTGTATTTACCTGATGATGAGTGATGTTGAGCATCTTTTCATGTGCATGTTAGCCATCTGGATGTCTTCTTTGGAAAAATGTCTATTCATGTCTTCTGCCCATTTCTTTTTTTTTTTTTTTAATTTTTTTTTTTTTAACGTTTATTTATTTTTGAGACAGAGAGAGACAGAGCATGAACGGGGGAGGGTCAGGGAGAGGGAGACACAGAATCTGAAACAGGCTCCAGGCTCTGAGCTGTCAGCACAGAGCCCGACGCAGGGCTCGAACTCACAGAACGTGAGATCATGACCTGAGCCGAAGTCAGCCGCTTAACCGACTGAGCCACCCAGGCGCCCCTCTTCTGCCCATTTCTTAACTGAATTATGTGTTTTGGGGTGTTGAGTTTGATAAGTTCTTTATAGATTTTGGATACTAACCCTTTATCAGATATGTCATTTGCAATTATCTTCTCCAGTTCTGTAGGCTGCCTTTTACTTTTGTTGATTGTTTCCTTCCCTGTGCAAAAGCTTTTTATCTTGATGAAGTCCCAGTAATTCATGTTTGCTTTTGTTTTCCTTGCCTCCTGGGACAGTGTGTCTCGTAAGAAGTTGCTACAGCCAAGGTCAGAGAAGTTGCTGCCTGTATTCTTCTCTAGGATTTTGATTGTTTCATGTCACACATTTGAATTTATTTTTGTGTATGCTGTAGGAAAGTGGTCCAGGTTTATTCTGTATGTTCTGTGTGGTGATGTCCAGCACCATTTGTTGATTCTTTCCTACTTTTTCAAAAATAGTTGACCATAGATGGAACTGTTTAAACTGGGACCAAAACTTGGGTCATTTGGTATTTAGTTCAGTATATCATAACTTTTAGGGTTTTTTTTTTTTTAATGTTTGTTTATTTGTTGTTTGTTTTGAGAGAGAGAGCACACACATGAGCGGGGGATGGGCAAAGAGAGGGGAGAGAGAGAATCCCAAGCAGGCTCCATGCCCAGTGTGGAGCCTGGTGCAGGGCTTGATCCTACAACTGTGACACCACAACCCCAGCTGAAATCAAGAGTTCAGTGGACTGAGCCACCCAGGCACCCCATTATAACTCTTGGTTTTAAATAAAATGAATGTTTGCCTCTGAAAATAATGGCATGTTTTTCTTCATACATTGATGGTAAATTCATAGTTCTAAAGATGATAGAATTGCTTTCTAAAAAAGCCATAAAGTCCAGGTTGAAAGTTTTGTTGTTGTTTTTGTTGTTTTTTAAAGACTTACTCTGGGGTGCCTGGCTGGCTCAGTCAGTAGAGCATGAGACTCTTGATCTCAGGGTTGTAAGTTTGACCCCACATTGGGTGTAGAGATGACTTAAAAATAAAATCTTTAAAAAAATAGATTTTTCAGAGCGGTTTTGAATTCACAGCAAAATTGAGCCGTAAGTGCAGAGAGTTCCCATATATTCCATGTGCACAGTTACGCACAGCCTCCCCCTACTTGCAACCCTGCTCTGAAGGGCATTGTTATAGTTGATGAACCTATCTGGCCACATCATTTTCACCTGAAGTCCGTACTTTACATTAGGGTTTGTTCTAGGTATTGTACATTCTTGAACAGCTATTTTTTTAACTGAACATTTTAGTTCTCAAGATTTATGAAGAGCTGTTAAATTCATAATGGCCACCCTTTGTCCTCATTGTTTTCCAGAAGTTTCACGTTCTTTTTGGTTACTTTGTGCCCTCTAAAACAGATGTATCCTCTAGATAAAAATAGGTAATCAAAGTAACAAATGAAGTTCTGCACATTTTGTTCTCACATTGCTCTTTTCAGTACCTGCCCACTTACTTATTCCTTCAGTTTGATTTGCTATCCTGAAT